ACGCCCTTTTGAGGCGTGGTTACACCTATTTTCAACATGGCGGACTTCTTGACCGATCATTGGCAACACTGAATACCTTTTCAGCCTTATAATGGCATCATAGAAAGACTGCTTTGGCCTTTTCCTTTTATATGTAAGTTGTAGAACAGCTTTTCCTTTCAAAAGCAGCTTATTATTTGATTATTTTTAAATTTTGAGTTTAAAAAAAGGGGGGGCAATTGCCCCCTTGCCCCCCCTGGCTACGCCCCTGCTAAAGGTATTGCAGTAAGCATAGCTTGGCTTGCTATGCTTCTTACAGAGCTGCAGATCTGAGCATGCGCGACCACACCCAAATTTTGGAGCACATGGCAAGCTTCTTTAATTAACAAAATGGCGGCATGCAGCTAAGATGGCTCGATCCAGCAGTCACAGTATCACTTTTTCCTCACTTGAAGAATGATCTGATGGGACATGGACCTGCGCATAGACTGTTGGAGTAGATTGGTGTAAGAATCATCCTTGTAGCACCAACCAATACTGAGATACACACCGACAACTGGATTGACAGGACTTCTGACTTGATGATGATGATGAAGATGAAAAAAGGTGGCTGAACAAAACGGCCGGTTCGCCGATTTTTTGATTTTCTTATAGATAAGGTCTAGAGCCACGCTAGTGGTACCAATGGAGTCCTCTGGTCAAGATGAGGTCCTCTAAGAAGTCTGGTAAGCATAGGAGCTCGTTTTCCCGGTATAGCAAGGCTACAAAAGTCGTGGCAGCCATTTTGTTTGGGGGTGAATCCTACCATAGATATTAGAGACTACGTATACCGCGTTACTAATTATTATTATTATTATTATTATTATTATTATTATTATTATTATTACCATCACCATTATTATCATCAACCAAAATACATCAAGTAGGACAATAGTAGTTTAAGAATAGAAATAAAGTCGGAAATAAAATGAAATAAAATAAAATAGTAATTTATTCAGTTTAGTGCATAATAAGGTTAAGGGGGAACTGTCGGCCATATAAATTATTATTATTATTATTATTATTATGTAGAATACGCCACTTGGTACTGCCTGTTTAAGAGGACATACACAAGTAGCTGAACTGTTATTGAAGCATGGTGTAGCTAATATCAATCACACTAATATACAAGAAGTAAGAGACATAATAATGTTATTACTATCGTCGTAATCATCATCATGCTAGCGTACACCACTTGGTATGGCTTGTATAGAAGGACATACAGAAGTAGTTAAACTACTACTGGAGCGTGGAGCTAAAGTCAATGTCACTGATGAAAATGGAGTAAGAGACATTATTTAGTAATCAATTTTTATAAGAAACTTAACAAAAATTATATGGACATTATTTATTATTATTATTATTATTATTATTATTATTATTATTATCAAAAACAAGAACTAATTAGAGCTAATAATAGAGAAAAACAAAAAAGGGAAAGGAGAGGGAAGGCCCTATGAGGAAAAAATAAAATAGAAATAAAACAAGGAAACTATACATGTATTTTTTTAAAAAACCTAATAATAATAATAATAATTATTATTATTATTATTATTATTATTATTATTTTATAGCTTACACCACTTTGTAATGCCAGTATAGCAGGACATACAGAAATAGTTAAACTACTACTGGAGCATGGTGACGTGGCTAATGTTGATCACCCTGATGGGGACAATGTAAGAGACATAATAATATTGCAGTTTCATTGCATTTTATTTTTGTAGTTTAGTGGTTTGGGGGATTTGTGTAAATAATATTAATTTAACTTTTTGCATGCATACATATGTAGTTTTTAACAACCTGGAGGCATAGCCCCCAGGTGGTTCCTATAATTGATTTCACCCACGTGCGATTTTTGTATATATATATATATATATGTTATATATAACACGATGATATGGGAGTTGATATTGCGAGACCGAGGATACTTTGAATTGATATTACCCAAGGGCGAAGGCCCAAGGGTGATATTAATTCAAAATATCCATGATGAAGGGTGCATCAACCCATATCAGCGTGTTATATGTTATATTTCATCCATCAATCTCATAAATGAGATATAATATACTGTACTTGTAGTAAATTTTGAGAGTATAAAATTTTGTGTTTTAGTAAAAAGCTGTTAGTTTTTATTTTTGAGGGGGTTAAATTTCATGTTTTTGCATGTGTACTTGCATTAAGTCAAAGATTTTCACATGCTACACATGCACAGTGAGCACTTCCGTAGTATTAATTTTCATGGTTAAGAAGTCACCCACGAAGTCCACGAAATTAAATACAATGGATTTCACTTCTGTTTGAACACTACATGAGGTGTGAGTTGATTTTCCGTACATGGTTTATTAATAGAGCTGAAACAGATGTGGCATTTCATTATCCGGATATCCTGTTTAAATTTCTTTCGGATATTTGCCGGATAGTTAATTAATAATAGTTAATTAGTTAGTGACAGGCACTGACTGCAGACATCAGAAAAGCAAAGTTTTAATTCTCCAGAATTCTATTCTTTTAAATTTCTGATATAGTTAAGAAGCTCAAAAAAGATTAAGAAGTGGCTGAGAAGGTTGGTAGCTTTGAGAACTTACTCTTTTATTGCCAGTCATTAATTATTTATAAAGTCTAGTTATTAAGTTTAATTATCCTATTTGTCAATAATTACTATCCGAATACTAAATTGATAAACGGATATCCGGATAATCAGGATATCTGTTTCAGCTCTATTTATTAGGCACACGTGATACTCACGCAACACACACTGTTTGAAAATAGATACTGTTGATTTCACTTCCATTCAAATGGTGCGTGAGGTGTGAGTAACTTTTCGTGAATGAATTTATTAGGATCACGTGATTTCCATGAAATATGCAGTGTTCAAACAGAAGTGAAATTCGCTGTATGGCTTAGCAACCATCCGTCCACCACTCTGGCTCAGCTCCCCTTATGTAAGTTGGTGTGGCTATGACAAACAAAATGGCGGCTTACACATGGGACAACGTTATGAGCTTTTTAACAACAAGAAAGCATAAAGATACTGTCTAAAGACTTCTCTAGAAGCATTATAAGGTAGAGGAGAACCTCTGTAAGTCTTTATAAGAATCCAGCTGTACATCCAAGGTGTGGGTGAAATTTATATAGGAATATTTTTTCATGCACTGTTACGCTTGTTTTGCTAAGATAAGTAGATGCTCTCTCTGACTTTAGATAAGTATATTTTCGTCCTTTTTGATTCATTTGTTCTTTAGTTTTAGCTGTAGCTACACTGGAAGTGATGTAAAAATTAATGATAACATACGTCAAACCACAGAAAAATTTCTATTTTGACATTTGACACTTGCTGCCATTTTGTTTAAACTACTGGAAATATGCACAAAAAGTAAACTCATAATTATAGAACTTACCTTATAAGTTAACAGTTGACATGCATGCATATAAATACACAGATTACACATGGGCCCTTGTGGGATAACTCAACCTGTAGGCTTCACCTCGAATCATAAAGTCATTGAAAAAGTGTTCAGCTAAAAATAACCCTTTATCTCATGTTATTGTTCTTTAGGATACACCACTTATTATGGCTTGTATAGGAGGACATAAAGAAGTAGTTGAACTACTACTGAAGCATGGAGCTAATGTCAATCACCTTAATAAACAAAAAGTAAGAATCACAGTAATTAATTAATTGTTGTTATTATTATTATTATTATTATCATTATTATTATTATTATTATTATCATCATCATTATTATCAAGAGTATATAATACTTAATATATTATATATATTATATATTATGTATATATTATGCATAATTATATTATGTATATATTATCTTTATATATATTATGTACTCTTGTTATTATGCAATGGAAAAAACCCTAGAGGGCCTACACTAAGACATACAATTATTAAAATACAGTAACCAGTTAAATGATCCCATCAACAGAAGGAGGCAAGAGGGGATTATTATTATTATACTAATAAAATTTATAGTATATTTTATTTCATTTTATTTTATTTTATTTGTAAGCTTTAAGAACTCTTTGCTTTATTCTCTATCCACTATCTTTCCCTCATTCTCCCCTAACCTACATGTATTCTTCTAATCTGTCCTATTTTTACCTTTATTTTTGTGTTTGTTGTTGATTATTATTATTATTATTACTATTATTATTATTATTATTATTATTATTATTTTTGTAGTAGTAGTAGTAGTAGTAGTAGCAAAAAGATAGGTGTTGGATAGATAGGGCATATGTATAATACAGAAAATGGAAGAGAGAGAGAGCGATGGAATAGATACATGTACAGGTATAGGAAAGAGAAAAAACAATTGGCTAGATTAATTATAGTTCATTTTGTTTAAGTTGACATTATAAGTGATAGAGGTGAACCGTCCATCATGTTGACTGACTGCCACTTTATACGAGAAACCTCAGGCATAGGATTGATGCTCTAATGATGGCAAATGTGATTCTAGTTCTCACCTAACTCATGATTGTACCATAGTTCCTTTCCCATTTATAAGCCAGCTATTCACTTAATTGCTTAAGGAAACAGGAAGCCTCCGCATACCGTCCACAGAAACACGTACATAACAGTGTAAACAATGCCCTTCTCTCTTCACATGCCTTTAGATATTTTTCCTTTTTCTTATTATTATTGTTATTATTATTATTGTTATTATGTAGTGTACACCACTTGTCTTAGCCTGTATAGGAGGACATGCAGAAATTGTTAAACTACTAAAGGAGATTGGTGGAGTTGATATCAATGCTACTGATGAACTAAAGGTGAGAATTAATTTATTATTATTATTATTATTATTATTATCATTATGTAGAATACACCACTTGTTGTGGCTTGTAAAGCAGGACAAAAAGGAGTAGTTGAAATGTTACTGAAGATTGGAGCTAAAGTCAATGTCACTGATTATGATGGAGTAAGAGACATATAGTATTGTTTATTACTATTAATTGACTTGCCACTTTGGTTGTCTGTCATTATTATTATTATTATTATTATTATTTATTTAGAGCAGTTTAAAAATATATATACATACACTTAGATGCAAGGAAATATGGGTATTATTATTATTATTTAATGTAGAATACACCACTTGCTATAGCTTGTATGAAAGGGCATACAGAAATAGTTGAACTACTACTGAACCATGGTATAGATAATACCAATAACACTAAAAATAAAATAGTAAGTTAATTATGATAATAATAATTATTATTATTATTATTATCCTTGCGTACACAACTTGATAAGGCCAGTGCAGAAGGGCAGCCTGAAAGAGTTAAAATTAATGGCACTAATAAAAAAAAAGTAACTTACTGTTGTTGTTATTATTATTATTATTATTATTATTGTTATTATTATTATGTAGCATACAGCACTTCATATTGCCTGTTATAAAGGACATACAGAAATAGTTGAACTACTACTGAAGCATGGAGCTAAAGTTGCTATATTTAATGAAGATCGTCTTAATGCTCTTGATATTGCTGTAGAGGAAGGAAAAAAGTAAAAATTAATAATTATGAATAATTACTACAATTTGTTTTAATCTAGAGATGCTGCAATGGCTATAGTCAAAAGTGATAAGTGGAAGAATGCATTACGTAGTTATACAGTGGATACAAGTCATCAAAGTGGTGATAAAGTCTGTGGAATTAGAAGACTATGTTGTTGCAAAAATGATGATGCTAATAAGCAATTCACAACACCAATGAGAAGGATAATTAAGAAGATGCCAGGTTAATACATTATTTTCCTAGCACTATCCAACAGTTCAGATTATAATATATTATTAGTGGATATCTCTTGCATTGTTCTCTTTTACATGTACATGTAGATGTAGCTAAAGTTGTTTTTGAGAAGTGCTGTGAGACAGACAAACCACCAGATCATCCTAATCATGAGATTAAATTTAATTATGAGTTTCTTGATGATTTTGACAAGTAAGAATATTAAAATTTATTTTATAAGAGCAAGCCAATATTTTAATTATTTGTTAGCATTAATGATTTTGTTTTTATATTAGAATATGGACTCGACGATCAAAATACTCTAGTGAGAATCATTGCCTTAGTATTCTTGTAAGTTGTATAATTATTGTAATTTATAATAATTATAAACTATTATTATTCATAGGCTAATTCACCAAGTGCTGATTTATTAAAGCATCCACTTGCTGCTACCCTGCTTGATCAAAAATGGAATAAAATAGGACGGATAGTCTATTACACTAATTTGATATTTTATTTTCTGTTTGTCATTTTACTGACATCATATGCTCTCACTGTCCATCCTCCAAATTCAAACATATGTAAGTTATTATAAGTATATTAATTATACTATATTTGTAATATAGGTATGGAAGTATTTGGAAATGGCAATGAAACATCTATTGATTGCCTTCCAGGTAATTGAATAGTAATCATATGACTATCATGTGACCATCTTGTGTTTAGAGGAAAGATTTATATCTCAAAGATACATACCTATTGCTAGTATATGCCTGATAGTTTATTCTGCAATCTTGATAATACGAGAGGCATTTGAATTGATTTTGTTTAGAGAAAAGTATTTTACCAGTTTTGTTAACTATATTGACGTCTCACTGTTTATCTTTACGATAATGTTTGCATCAGTACATGGCAACCAGTGCTATTGTACTCGTCCATGGCAGTGGCAGGTTGGAGTGATTGCTGTATTCCTCAGTTGGATTGCACTGATACTCTCCATAAGGAAGCTACCAGTAGTTGGAATATATGTGGTCATGTTTATTAAGATTTTTAACAACTTTATCAAGGTTGTCATCCTTGCCTTACTATTAATCTTAGCCTTTGCAGTTCCTTTTTACATGATGTTTTATGATCCTCAAGATAGAGCAGAAGGAATAGTAAGACTTAAGCTAATATAATTATTATCCCTATCTCTTTTTGTCTCTATTACTTTTTTCATGCAGCGTACTCCATTTATCACTCCATGGAGGACAACTGTTAAAGCAATATCAATGACAGTGGGAGCACTTGATATAGATTCATTATTGCGACAGGATGATCAAAGGAATGCCCCTGATGTACAGTATCCAGTAGTTGCATTTTCATTGGTAATTGTGTTTGTGATTTTAATGCCAATTCTATTCCTTAATCTATTGGTATGTTCATATAATATTAACTCCACCCACTGACCAACCCATTTTATATAGATCGGTTTAGCTGTTGGTGACACTGATGAAATACAAAAATCAGCTGATACTTACAGACTAACTCTGAGGGTAAGAACTAATTTGCATAGACATCACCAAGTATAGCTACTCTTAACATTTCTGATATTTATAGGTTGAATTTACACTACCTATTGAGCAACTTCTAAGATCATTTAGAAGCTATATTGATGAAAAGGGGCGACTAAGAAAAGTTTCATTTTTGTTAGGAAAGATTGTAGCTGTTACTAAAACTGATAAACCAAACAAACACAACTTCTTGAAACAAAAAATTGATGAGATTGAGAAATCTATTAAAACTGAACCTCCAGTAAGTGAACATAATGAACTTTCTTTTTTATCATGCATATTATTTTAATACAGGCAACTCTAACTCATGTTAAAAATCAAACCAAATCATTATCTGACGAAATGAAGAGCCTACACAATTCAGTATCTCAGGAGGTGAAAGACCTACGCAGTTCAGTATCTGAGGAGGTGAAGGACCTACGCAGTTCAGTATCTGAGGAGGTGAAGGACCTACGCAGTTCAGTATCTCAGGAGGTGAAGGACCTACGCAGTTCAATGGATCAGTTGTTAGCTATTGTTAACAGTATGAATGAAAGAGTAGGAGGAGGAGGAGGAACAGAAGGAGAAGAAAAAGGAGGAGGAGGAGGAACAGGAGCTGGAGGAACAGGAGCTGGAGGAATAGGAGCTGGAGGAACAGAAGGAGGAAGAGGAGGAACAGGAGCCAGAGGATTAGAAGAGGAGGTGGAGCAAAAGAAATAATTTTGCTTAGCTTGTGGAGGAGGAAGGAGAGTGATTTTTAACGTTAAAAATTAAAATTAGTATTGTGTGGATTATTTTTATAGACTATTACATGCTGAACTCTTTTATATTTTGTT